GCCGCGACCCTGCCTCGACGGGGACCTCGAGTTAGGCACGGTGACGCGGTGTGTACGCCGTAGCGCCGCTCCTGCAGGCGGGTATCGCCAGTCGGGTCTTCCTGCACGTTCAGGACGGTCCCGCTGCCCACCCGCCGCCCGCCCCTTGTCAGTGGTTTATAGTGGCCGCGGTACACGTTCCATACTGTAAGAATCGCGCATTTTGTGAAAGAAGCACCAAAATTTGCACAGACGTCCTTAAAGGTATAAGGAACAATTCTGCCCGAAGTCTTCTGGAAGTTTTCGAACCGTTCAACCTGTACTGTTCAATTCGTACAACCTGAACGGAATAGTATAAATAGCGGTGACCCTCACCCTAATAAAGCTAATAAGTGGCGCGTAGTAAATTTCTCGCTCAATTTGGTGTCGCCGGACAGAAAGCAAAGGTTATTTCGGTAATTTGAACACTTTTGAACACTTTTTTTGAACATTTTCGTACATTTACAAGTGTTTTGATTACTGGCGGCAGAAACGCCGAGAATATGCCCTCGCATCATTAGTGTTTTCATCTAGTACACTACTGACACCTTATAGGGCCTTACATGAACAATTGCGTAGCGTGTACAACCCTATTCCGAACACTGGTTGGAACACAAAGTTGAACAAAATGAAGTGTTTTCGAAGATACGTGTCAGACACATGTATTCTATGTGAAATGAACCTGCTGATGACGAATCTGGACTCAGGTATGACGTTTTTTAACTCTGGAACACCTACCGCCCCGTTCCGAACACTACTTGGAACACCGAGTTGATCAAAATGAGGGTTTTTCGAAGATACTTGTCAGACACGTCTATTCTATGTGAAACGAACCTGCTGATTACGAATCTGGACTCAGGTATGACGTTTTTTTACTCCGGAACACCTACCGCCCCGTTCCGAACACTACTTGGAACACTGACATGAGCAAAATGTTGTGTTTTCGGAGATAGGTATCAGACACGTCAATTCTGTGTGAAAAATTCTGTCTGATTTCGAAGCTGAAAGTAATTTTTTGATTGGAGTGGAACATGCGTTTCCAACTAT